CACCTTCATTAACTTGAGTTCGTATTTAATTGATTTTACTATTTTTGCATAAGCTTTACATAACAATTTTCTTGTACAGAAGAACTTCCCTTGCCTCCCCATCTAAAAATCCACCTTTTGTAAGGTATGCTTCCACTTCCATTGACTTTCAAAGTCTAAGCTGCTGAGAGTATGATGCAATGGAGCTTAGTTATCATATCCTGGATACCAAACTTAAGCCTAAAAATTGAAAACAAGCCATTCTAATGAGTGGGGGGGGAGGCGTTATGCGCGAATAATTGAGGGAGAGTTTAATTAATTGAAGAGGCATGTTGGGTGGGGGGGGGGCGTTGTGTGCGAATGAGGGAGAGTCAAATTGAATAGGCATGTTGAGATGCAGGGGTGAATCTCCCTTCGACCTCTAGCACCTTCATTAACTTGAGTTCGTATTTAATTGATTTTTACTATTTTTGCAAAAGCTTTACATAACAATTTTCTTGTACAGAAGAAATTCCCGCGTCCCCATCTAAAAATCCGCCTTTTGTAAGGTATGCTTCCACTTCCATTGACTTTCAAAGTCTAAGCTGCTGGAGTATGATGCAATGCAGCTTAGTTATCATATCCTGGGTACCAAACCTAAGCCTAAAAATTGAAAACAAGCCATTCTAATGAATCTCTGAAAATTAAGGTTGGTGTAAATGAATTTAGTTTAAAAATGCTAAATAAAACAGATACAATACTTTTTTTCGGCGTAGGCAGAGCATACATTGACTGTCTGCCACTGAAATAAAATAAGATTGCAATCAAAGTTTAACAAAGCTGTGACAAACCATCTAACATTTTAATTAGTTGATTCAAGGAAATACTAGTCTACCGCCCTCTATTTTGTCTTATACATGCATGGGGGAGGGGACAGTGTTTTATATTAAAACAAAAACAACAATAGGACACACTAGCAATAGTGTACATAACAAAGCTTTATTACAGCGAAACAACACAACAAACCCAATCTATGCAAGATGGAGTATATCCAGAGGCCCAATAGAGAGCGCTTAACAAAATCACAGTGTGTAAAACACTGGCGCTGAAACCATGTTGTACATCTGAAAGAATACTGAATTCCTCGCAGTGTTACACTGTGTTTAACAATTATGTGCTCCAGCAGTTTGCAGCATGTTGAAGTTAAAGATATTGGACGGTAGTTGGTTGGAGATGTTTTGTCACCCTTTTTGAACAGTGGTGTTATCAGAAACACATATTTTTCACTGAAGACAAATTATTAGGTGCTATGGAAATTTTACTACGGGTATTTGAGGACTATTATGCATTTTACTAACTTGAGAAATCCGCATTTGTTCATATTAATTCCATAACTAATTATTCATCATCTCGGAACTGATATCACACTGCGTTCTGCTAAATGAAAAACGAACATTGTCCACATACATCTATAGCCCTTCATGTGCCTACCTGTCATTTGAAGACTTGAGAAAGGTCCTTTTTAGTTGTTGGCTCCAAGCTCAGGAATTCACATCCACAATCCTTCCAAGAGTCTCCTAATTTAATATCTTTAAGCGCCGTCTAATGCCCGAAAATGTTTGTGTTTTCACCATTAAAATTACAGCAACTCACACGTCCTTTTGCTTTATGCGTTTTATTATTTACCGTATTTATTCTCGGAATATACGCCCTGCTTCAAATAAACGCGACCTCGAATAAACGCCACCACTGGAGTTCATTTGGAATTAACGCGTCCCTTGAATAAACGCCCTAAACGTTTTTTTTTTTTTTTTTTTTTTTTTCTTGTTTTTTTCTCGAATAATCGCCACCTAAACACATTCTATATTAATATTCTACTTCAGTGGAATTATATTTGTATTAACTTAGTTGGGATCAATAATTCTTTATGATCACAAAATAACACATTTTACCGGTAATTATGTGTTGTTGTTCTGCAACATTTACAGTGAAATTAAGGGGGCGTTTATTTGATTATTCTATCCATTTTACATAAAAAATATACCCTTTCTTCGAATACACGCCTCCCTCGAATATATACGCTCCCTCAAATTCTATTTTCTCTATGCTCAAACAAGCTTCACAACAATAAACGCCGGCCCCGAAGCGTTTGTTTGAATAAACATGGTAATGTGAAGTCGATGCAGCGACATGTTACTCGTTTGATGTAATATTCATTATCTCCGCCAGGATATATATATTTTTAGTCGTGTAAGTGTTGTGTGTGTGTCACATTTTCGTGTTTTGTGTTGTTTTTTTGTTTTTTTGTTTTTTTTGTTTTTTTTTTTGGTTCAAATTATTTCAAAAACGGCTGCACAGATATAAATAACAGGCAGTGTTAGGTATGACCCAATGAAGAAATGATTAAATTTGGTGAAGGTCCAGAGTAGGGTACGTGTTGGAATTTAAGAGCAAACACTCTACACTAGATATTTCAAAAACGTGTCAAGTGACTTTGAGAGTCATTTAAAGTGCTAATGGTGCCAGACCTAAATATCTCTAAAAATAAGCGATCTAAATGACACTCCAGAATAGTTTGTCATATTTCAATGAAGAAATGTTTACATTTTGCTGACCATCCGGAGTAGAGTGTGGATATGAGGACCATTCAACTTGGGAAACGTTCCAGACTAGATTTCAAAAACCAAATACCTGATCTGAATGATACTTTCATGAAAGATAAACCCGGTTAAAAGGAAGTAATTATTAAGTGTTGGTGACGATCCAAATTCGGGTGTGCATTTGAGGGTCATGTTAGATCCCAGACCTAAATATCTCTAAAATTTATCAATTGGTCAAAATTAAACTTACCAGAATAGTTTGTCATGTTTCAATTTCTGGAAAACTTGGTATGTATTTTTTTTTTATTTTTTTTATTTTTTATTTTTTTTTTTGTGTCAACTATAATAGTAAATGGTTCCCAGTAGGTTTAAAGAAGTAGTAAGGAGTTGGCAGATATACAGCTAACAGTAAAAGGCGTTTTCGGTATTGTATCTCAGATTGTGATGTCTTTGTTGTATCCAGGAAATTGAAAGAATTGGGTAATAAAATAAATTACAAACAAAATGTTGAGTGAATTCTGTCAATGTGAGCTAATTGAGAGGTTGAAGTAAATCAATTACTGTAGACAGGATGTGATGAAATGACAAACCATCATAACAAAATAATTTTTGAAATAATTATAGTACTGTACTTAATAAATGATAAAAATAATAATAAAACACTTCAGTGACAGTGTTTTTATCATTGTTCGCGTAAACTTTTTTAAATACTGTACATTAATTTCTATGTTGATAATGTTAACTGCAAAATGAGGAAGCTAATTCAAAAATGATTTCGTGGAAAATATGGGAGGGTGAAACTTTCGAAAACAACTATCGAATACAGATACTGTACACCCCCCTCACTCGGTACTTCTCGCGAGCGAAGTGAAAATACCTCCTAGCTACAGAACGCGATCAAAGATACTACTAGGCTAGGCCTGTCGTCGTCAAAGGTAAAGAATGGTTTTCATTGATGAATGCCCAGAAAGAATGAATAATATCGTTGAAAATGTAAGTATTTCAAATCCTGTAGCTTGGTCATGAGTTCTCATGAAAAGAAATAATTATTTCTTCTCTACTACAGTAGGCCTAGCCTAGGATATGTATTAGGCCTGGCCTACTAGGCCTCTAGGGCCTAGGCCCCTATTCTATAGGCCTACTTAGGCCTAAGCCCATAGTATAGGCCTAGGCCAGGCCTAGGATTTAAAAAGAAAATTATCTGACCAAGAATAAAACCAAAATAGCCTTCACCGATTACGTTTATAGGGTTGGTATTGCAGAGATCCCAAGTTTGAAAACCAAAAAATAGGGAGATTTTTTTCATGAAGCGATCGCCTCCTGTAGCGACGCGCTGTGACGCCTTACAACGCGCTGTGCAACATGAAAGTATTACACAAAATGAAGAAAACAACAATTTTCATCAATTTGTTTACTTTTATTTAACAATTTTACATTTGTTTACACATTGCAGTTGGCCTAAAATATAAATTTATAAATATTATTATTTATTTAGCATTTAGCTAGTAAAGCGTTCTTGGCAGCAGTCAACAATTGCTTTGCTTGGATCATTGGCATGTTAGAGGCTATGGCTGATTTATTACATCTCATCAAAGAACATAGAATTCTAGCAAAGTAACTGCAACTTGCAAGATTCACACGTTTGCTGAAAAATTAAAAAAAATATATATATTTTAATTTAGTTAGTAAATCATACTACATGTTTTAAGTCAGCATTTATATATGTCTAGCCTATAAGAACTTGTACATAATGCCATGAAAAAAACATTAAATCCTGCCTCGCAAGGCTCCATCTATACGTGCGTACCTAGGCCTAATACCGCAGAATCACAACCACCACTACACACACGCCCACCCAACACAACACACATACCCTGCAGTGTTGCAGATAGAGCCTAGGCCTAAGCCCTACATGTATTTCGGGATCGATATTAAAATAAACTTCATTTTTCGGAAGACTGCATAGTACCAAAACCTATTAACTATAATTTTTTTAGTATTGTTATTAAAGAACTGAAGCTTACTTGAAAAAATAAATTACAAACAAAATGTTGAGTGAATTCTGTCAATGTGAGCTAATTGAGAGGTTGAAGTAAATCAATTACTGTAGACAGGATGTGATGAAATGACAAACCATCATAACAAAATAATTTTTGAAATAATTATAGTACTGTACTTAATAAATGATAATAGTAATAATAAAACACTTCAGTGACAGTGTTTTTATCATTGTTCGCGTAAACTTTTTTAAATACTGTACATTAATGTCTATGTTGATAATGTTAACTGCAAAATGAGGAAGCTAATTCAAAAATGATTTCGTGGAAAATATGGGAGGGTGAAACTTTCGAAAACAACTATCGAATACAGATACTGTACACCCCCCTCACTCGGTACTTCTCGCGAGCGAAGTGAAAATACCTCCTAGCTACAGAACGCGATCAAAGATACTACTAGGCTAGGCCTGTCGTCGTCAAAGGTAAAGAATGGTTTTCATTGATGAATGCCCAGAAAGAATGAATAATATCGTTGAAAATGTAAGTATTTCAAATCCTGTAGCTTGGTCATGAGTTCTCATGAAAAGAAATAATTATTTCTTCTCTACTACAGTAGGCCTAGCCTAGGAAATTGGCCTAGGCCTAAGCCCATAGGCATAGTATAGGCCTAGGCCAGGCCTAGCCTAGGATTTTAAAAGAAAATTATCTGACCAAGAATAAAACTAAAATAGCCTTCACCGATTACGTTTATATATGAGAGATATAATTAATCTTTTCAAAATCAAATCCTAGGTCTATGCCTGGGAACTAAAAAAAAAATGCCTTTTATTAATAATTATTATTCTTGGACGTAGGCCTTGGCTAGGCCTACAGGCTTGTGGGGCCTACCTAGCCTAGGCCTAGGTAGTTGGATCTCCTTATTCTAGCTAGGCCCTCTGTGAATCCCTAGATTTAGACTCTTAAAAAAATCATTCATTACGGAAGAAGAAAAGATTACAGATCATTTCGGTCGCGCCTTAATTTCGGTCACGTCGCATTGTTATGCATTTCGGTCACGTCGCATTGTTATGCATTTCGGTCACGATAAACAACCTCAGTATGGAACGCCAATGTATGCACTAGTGCTTTATGTTTGGAAATTAACTTTTAAAGGGTTGGTATTGGTACGGTCATTTAGGCCTAATATTCTTTGTATTTTTTTTTTTAGTATGATTGTTGTTTTAAGTTTTTTACGATTTTGACTCGAAGTTAATGGTGACATGAAGTAGGTGAACGCACTTAAACACCTTCACTGCCATGACTTGCTAAAAATAGCTAGTCATCTATATTTAGCATCTGACCTACTGAATTTTACTATGTATTTTCTATAAACATCACAATATGTATAAAAAATGGAAATAAAACAAGAAAATACAAACCTTGTGCTGCTTTTACCTCAAGAATACCATGGGAATCTAGTTTGTGGAAATTGAATTCTAGCGCAATTATAGAATACAGTATGACTAGAAAGAGTGATTTTGTCAGGCTTATGAATATAAACGAAGCCTGAAATGTGCCATTAAAATGTACGGTGTTTAATTATGAATATATTAAAAATTGTATGTGGAATATAAATATGAAAATAATATATATTTCCTTCATTTTCATTCATCATATATCATTTAGTATGTTCATTTATCAAATTATAAACATGATCAGAACATTCAAGATAAATGGGAACGTAACAGACAAGAAAACAAATGTATGAAAAACTAATCTATTGACTATATATTTATTTCATAAATCTCCATTCAATTTATGCATTAATAAAATATATATCGCAACAAACGTTAAATTAAAGAAAAACTTGTCTCAAAACCAAGTCGACTTTGTAACATTTTCGTTGTTTCTGTAAAAAAAGAAAAATATGAACACCAAGTGATAACGTAATAAACTATAATATAGTACAGTAATACAAATGATTGTTAGTCAACTAATGTTTTATGTAAGTTTGTGTTTATAAAAATACTATACTGCTTACCTCTCAGATTTGCGGTCGCACTGTCGGCGCGCCATACACCGCGACCGAAATGTATAACAAAAATAACAAGACCGAAATGAAGGTGCGACCGTAATGATCGGATACCGAAGAAAACCTGTGTGTCTATCAGAAGTCAAATGTGAAAAGAACTTCGGTTGGCTGGATGTCTAGGCCTAGGCCTATATTTTTGTTGATTCTGGCTTATAGGCTAGGCCTCACCCTCGCGCCCGGCTAGCCTAGGTCGTAGTAGGCTAGGCCTAGGCCCCTATGTATGCAGTTGAGGCTTACTAATAGGGCCCTAGGCTTAAGCTAGGCCCTAGGGAATTTTAGTTTACACATAGGCCTAGGCCTACAGTAGCTATACTAAAAAAGATGCCCTCTACCTTCCACCATCCTGTGCGCATATGTACGATAAACAATTAGGTTCCATTTTGTTTTTCACTTTATTCTTGTGATTGAAAAATTAATAAAATTTGTATTCTGGACTGTATTTGACTAAAAATTGACCCCATGCAAAATTTAGCACTTACATTTAGTAGTATGTTACAACAAGGTTCAGTTTATTTTTTGGCTGTTTTTATTTATTTTACTTTTAATTATATTTAATTTTTTCGTTTTAATTTGATGAACCAGCAGGAAGGGTTTCGGTGGCACTGTAATAATAGTTCTATAGTGTTTTACTTAATCTACAGAATGATTTAAAAATTTTTATTTTATTTTTTTTTTTTTTTTTCTACTACTTTTCAATCTACTCATTTGGCCTAACCATGGACTCATTTCTCTCACATTTAGACTCTATTTACTCTAATCATTATCATTTTATAATTATTATGAACACAGAAAAAACAGTGAAGACGAAAGTTAACATCAGATCTCTCACATTGTGGGAAAGTACATTTTCTGGGCTACATTTCTGGGCTGTCCTAGAAAGAAACAAAATGATGTGTAATTAGGCCTACTGCTGTCGACTTGTGAGTTACAAGTAGCCAGAAAAAACCCTATAATTATCAGCAGCAGTAGACACAGAGGTCACTGGGAGCTTATTTTTATTTCTGATGTTTCAACCACTCAGGAATTCATTGTTGGAAGTTGAGGTAAACTTGTAGAAAACATTTTTGATCCCAGAGGTTTGTGAATTTTGGGAATGTGTTCCTGCAGCAGTTGAGGAACCTGAAAGTGTTTAATTGTACAAGAAATATTTTTAAGAAGAGGACTGGCTGTCAGGATGCCCACAAATGATCCACCTCTTGGGCTGATGCAAAGTTTGGCGGTATGAGGATGTGTAAGAGTCCACACCAACTCAGCCCTACCATGCTTGGGGCTGAGGTGGTGTGGTACTCTCACACTGAGTATATTTATTTTATCTATTTGTATCTAATTACTATTGAATAGAGTATGTTTTTTCTTAGCTGAAGTATTGATTGACCGGTAATGGCTACTTATTATGATGATGGAGTACTTGGTTCCATAGATTTCTCTTCAGCTGTATTGGTAGACTCGGATGATGCAATAGCAAGACTTGATAGGCAGCTGGCATTGACAGAAGAAAAGTAAGTTGTCATATCGTGGTGTTACAGTTTTCAATTGTTAAATTCAACCTTTAAAATTGAAAATGTAAAAAAAAATAAACAGTAGAATATATTCTACTAATAAACTGTTAATTTCAGATATGTTATATTTGACCAAATCATGTTTAGTGTAAATACAATATTGAAGTCAAAGTATATGTATGAGCAAGTAATATTCTATTAATATTTCTAAGGTGAGCTAATTGTTTGTAAACGTAATCTGATTTTGTTTAATAGATTGGAAAATGGACTAGAAGAACTGATTGTTGCCATCAATAGCCTTTCTGTGGACAACGATTACACCAATGTGAAAGATGCAGTTGACAGTCTAATTAAGACAAGTAGCTTGGAGGAATGTGCATGCCTTCAACCAGAACCACATGATGTGATTGCATTTCTGCAGACATTGGTAGGAAGCCATTGTAAAATGCATTCCAACAATTGATTATGGAAATCTGTTTCTCCAACTATCATTCTGTCTGTCCGTAACTCATTAGTTGCATAGTGGCTGTTTTGTAAATTATGTAATATAATTTTTTATATTATTTAATTATTTTGTATATCTCTTTTTCAGGCATTAACTATTGATAAAAGTTCAACTGCAGATAATGTTGACTGTTTGCTGGATCTTCTTCAACTGTGTTGTAAGCATGGATTTGTTCTGCCATTCCAAGCACCACCAGCCGGTGACAAAACATGCTCCACTATCTCCATCAACACCATCTCCAGCAGTTCAGAATTGGAAATAGAACAGCTGTGGACCAGCATTCGACTTCAACTGAAGAAACAACTACTTAAGAAGCTTGCCGACCCTCTGTTTTTCTGTCCAGATATGAAACTCAATCTTCTGCAAGGTTTGGTGTTTTTGTATCCAGCTGATGAAGCTTGGAAGATCTACAAGTCACACCGTGGCCAAGAGATCAACCAAGCACTAGTGGATGGCCTACATCTTGAAGATGCACAACCAGAGGATGTTCTGAAGAACATCAAAGACAGGTTCCGTCAAGTTCAACACACATTGAAGGATATGATGGTGACAGACTTCAAGACTATGTCATCAAGAGTTTTTCAAGATGTGAACATCTACAATGCCCTCAAATCTCTGTATTCGTCAAAGATTTCTCAATACCTTGTTGTGAACGTAAGCCAGCCATCCAAGATGACCACAGACTTGGAAAACATGGGTAACAGTTCCAGTACTAGTGAGTTTTTCTAATATTTTCAGCATGACCACTCAACATCCCTGATCAATTGATTTTATTCTATGAAAACTAGCTCTACATCTTGACAGTGACTGGCTGCTTAAAACATTGTAGGCTCATTTGCCTATTTGCTGACAGATAGCTTGTTGCGTTGCACGTGCATTTTACTAGGGATTTGTCATGAGATAGTAAGACTGGTCGTATGTAACAAAAACAAGCCAAACCAGTCACTCCTCACAAATCATTTTGTGGAGATAATTGCCGAAACATGTTGGAATATCAAACAAATTTTTTTAATCTATTTTATTGCACTAAACTAAACTTTATATTTAAACATTATCATGCTATGTTGTTGTTTACTTTTGGTTTGTGACTTGGCTGATGTCCTGTGAGCTTGCATGTGACTGTGTGTATAAAAGTATGCCAAAAAATAAACATTAAACAACTAGAATTTTCCAAACCTATTTATCCAGTACATAGAATAATCCATAGATGTACTACTTGCGTATATAAAATGAAAATATATTGATTACAAATGCTGATATTTGATTATTTTAAGACCTGCCTTGTTTAACACAGTTTAACACAAAGAAGATACCATTTATCCCATCATGCGTTTCTAAATATACTTCTGAGCATGTGCAGAACTGCGCCTAAAGACAACGACATAACGCCAACAATACAGTTCAGGCGTGCAGTGTGAAATCACAAGCTTGCTATCCTGGTACAGTTAAAAGTCCTTGATTGTACATCAAAATCATTGAACAGTCATTTACATTTTTCCTATTTCATTTCAGTTACAATTAAAGAGAGTGATATTCTGGCTGTATCTGTATTAGCCTCAGAGTTAATGGAATTTGAGAGTGCAATGGAAGATGTATTGCACCAGCTGAATTGGACTAGTGAAGCTCGAAGCAAGAGAACCTCAAAACAGCAACCCAAAGGTAAATATTATCAGCTATATATATATATATATATATATGATATAGGCCACCTCTCTTTTAGCATTTTGGCCAGACTGCAATGCGGTGAGTTGATTGTCATTCCTGACAATCTGTTTAACTTCCCAGCATATGCCAGCTATTATTATTATTAGGTCCTTTGTGACCTTAGGTCACATGGAACTAATGTAATGGTTCACATGTAAAATGAGGCATGTTGTGGCAAAATGGCCAAGTTGTAGCAAAAATTTAAATTCAAGTTATTGGTATTTATAAATACCTGAGTATGTGATCTTTAAAATGAGAGGTCATTCATTCAAATTGAACATTTCAAACCTAAGTTATTGGAAAGTGAAAATACAGTAATCTTAGAGTCAAGATAAACAGGATTTTGAGTAATTGCCTTTCAAAGTTATTTGTGCATACATTGTTTAATAGAATGAACTATGAAAAATAACGTTAAATAAACAATTTGTTAACCACTTCCACAACTAATACTTTGGGACATGATTAATAAGACATTAAACTGTTGACCTACAGTGAAAAACAAATTTGGATTTTTTATCAATTTTTTGAGCTCCAATTTATAGCTCATTTACTCAATACTAGACTGTGCGACAACTTTACCATTTCGCCACAACATGCCTCAAATGTGTGTATGAGATGTACAACCAAAAGAGGTCAGCATATTTGTTAAAACAAATAGGCTAAGAAACGGTGCATTGCGGCACGTATACATTGTGCTCGATAGTTACTGGTGGACATGCAATTGTGCAAGAAATGTTGGTTTTTTCGGTTAGATGAAAAATGTAAGCTGTAGGCAATAAAACATATACCTGCTACCACCAGTTTTGAGTTGTTTTTTTAGTCGAAAATTTGATTTGCGCATGCGTCGGGTCAAACTTTGCCGACATTTTGTTTCTGTCGCGAGCTGCCTAGAAAAGTTCTTTATGTTGTTTTCGCGACTGTCAGTAAACATTGAGCAAGCTGAGATATTTGTTGCATATCGGCCACTTACCTGTGCTATTATTTGAAGGTGTTCTGTGTGTTCTATTAGTGTTTTAGTATACTTTAACGGCTAAGATTGACGGACCTGGTGTACCTAGGCCTAGACACATAATGTATGTAGGCTTCTCTTTGGGCGACACCGTCGGACCTGGTGTAGGCCTAGACACATATACATATATATACTGATATATTATACCGTTACGTAAAGTAGGTTTCTTGGCCTACCACCAGCCTACCGTCAAGCAATAAAAATCAACATTTGTGGAACTATTTTCCAAGAAATGATGGTTAAAAATTCTGGACACATAAATATGCAGCATGTGATGGACGGACGTACCTAAGGGTTGGCGGGGGGCAGCATGTGATGGACGGACGAACCTAAGGGTTGGCAGGGGGACGAGAGTTCATCAAATGATGTTTGGGAAAATAATGGTCAGAAAATACTGTACAGCATCTGATGGACAGTCCCGGGTGGGGGAGAACCTTAAAATTATGGACACATAAATTTA